AAACGCTAGAGCATTCATGAAGAAACAGGATATTTCTAGAAGTCAATGACGTGTTACCAGCGTCACGTGACCTGCGTTGTAGTAACAATATATTTTCTTCTTTCACGTTTCTATCATCTTGAATACTTGTACACTGCCGTAAATTGTTTTATGCCTACGTTATAAATGACGTTAACTAATGTAAAACAAATCAACTTACTTAAAAAAAGTAATTCGATTTGCGCAATAACAAACACAGATCCAAGTATTTCATGATAACACACTGACTGATTCAACTCTCTCTCTCTCTCTTGAAAAACTATTTTCTATCTTAACTATACTCTTGATGCTTAGTTGATCCCGTATTTATAACCTACCCTCGTTATAGATATTGCGCTGAGCCTCTCATTCATGAATACTCCCGAATATTCTAGGACCAATGTGATACGACCTCCAGTTAATCCTACTTCATCCTGTTTCTATTTTGCTTTCATACTACAATATCACGATTCAAATGGTGTACTAGACGATTAAGCGAGCTTTTTGCAAGCATTAATAAAAAACATCAGGGTTGTAATTTTCTTCTAGCAACATATCACCAAGCTAAACTTATATCACTTTAATATCGTGTTTAAAAATGCTTTTACTGTAGAGCTGACCACAATAATAAGTTTTCTCATCCAGTTGTATCCTCGTTTCTTAATACTTTTATCACTTTGTTCCCATTTCTTTAGAAATCTCCAGTGGACTGCAAGCCATAGAGGCTTAATTGAAAATTGTATGTTTGAATTATTACCCTACGACTTTTCTAAGTTGATGAGATATAGTTAAATATATCGCACCATTATAACCGTGTTTAAGAAACAGTGATAGGCTAAAATCAATAAAATTACACTTGTATTGAAGTTAAAAGTTTCACGTTAGCGGCACTGTTTTGTTCAAATATATTTCGACTTTTCTCTTAAGGGACTACGAGGCCAATTATGTTCAGACAAAAGTACAGGAAGTGCACAATCACTAAAATTTTCTTTCAGAGCGCATTGAAATAAATTCAAAATCGAATTTCGAGGTGTTTTTTTGAACTTGTATGTGTATATTTAAACAAATAAAAATTTTTATTAAATAAATTTCAAATATGCTTTTTCTTTTTAAATAGAAGAACGACTAAAAAATGGCCCGGCATGGCCAGGTGGTTAAGGCACTCGACTCGCAATCTGAGGGTCGCGGGTTCGAATCTCCGTCACATGCTCGCCCTTTCAGCAGTGGGGGCGTTATAATGTGACGGTCAATCCCACTATTCGTTGGTAAAAGAGTAGCCCAAGAGTTGGCGGTGGGTGGTGATGACTAGCTGCCTTCCCTCTAGTCTTACACTGCTAAATTAGGGACGGCTAGTGTAGCTTTACGCGAAATTCAAAAACAAACAAACAAGAACGACTAAAAGTTTGTTTCTATACATATTTTTTAATTCAATGGTGAAATTTTGCCCTTGGAGGGATGCACTTTTCCGGACGTGATAGAAATAAACTATTTAGATGCTTGCAACATTACAATTTTACTTATACTTTACTTACAGTTACATTTAATAAACAAACCTAGTAACCCACGGATCATCTAAGTTAATGACTATTCCAAATATTATTTAATCGAAAGAACCCCAACCTCATTTCAGTTCATATGAATATCTGTGTTACCACTTGAGATAAGCTTATCCCACCCCATGAAGTGGACAAAGTGTGAAGGAAGGAATTAAGCTACAATCTTCAGTATTAGCACTGTCCACTGTCCAGTACTTTTTACTTTGTGTACATTGTGTTAGTTCAATCTTTTATGTTGTAACATTTTCTATTGTTGGGTGGGTTCTTCTGGATTATTTGGTAAAAATAATGCCAAGTCCAATCCACACAATGATAACAAATTAATTAATTTTTAAATAATGTTTGCTATAGGATATGTACACAGGTAGACCTAACTTCACAAAATAGCTTTTCAAGAGAAACACTGCAACTATTGCATGCCTAATTTACTTATAAACTTATTGAGATATTTACAGAATTTATTTGCTAATGGATAACAAACATGCTGACTCACTTACTCACTAGCTTATTTATTAACTGAAGCACAGTTGCATTAACTGTCATTGTGTAATGTTTGTTGTTGTTGTTAAGCGCAAAACTACAAAATAGGCTATCTGTCTTTTCTCACTACAAGTAACGAAAACCGATTTATAGCTCAATATACCCTCATCCTTATCGCGTAACCAGCGGGTGGCATAATAATATGAAACATGGCTTATTATTAATAGTTTCGTTTACTTACTGATTAATTATTACTTATTACATGTTACAGCTTTTACAGTAAGGAAGAATATTTTTTTATATAAAAACAGGTATGACATTTCCAACACTGGTGCGATCATTCTCAAGTACTTGAGAACATTCTTGCCAGTGATCGAAACGTCGTATCTGTTCTAAAAAGCTATAACTTGTAATAAAATAACGGTTTATTATTTTTTGTCAAAAATATTTGAGATTAATATTTCACCAAAAATTATACAGATTCAAACGAAAAAAATTAGATGTGTAATACCAATTTATAGGCCCGGCATGGCCAGGTGGTTAGGGCGCTCGACTCGTAATCTGCGGGTCGCGAGTTCGAATCCCCGTCCCACCAAACATGTTCGCCTTTTCAGCCGTGGGGGCATTATAATGTGACGGTCACTCCCACTATTCGTTGGTAAAAGTGTAGCCCAAGCGTTGGCGGTGGGTGGTGATGACTAGCTGCCTTCTCTCTAGTCTTACACTGCTAAATTAGGGACGACTCGTGCAGATAGCCCTCGTGTAGCTTTGCGCGAAACTCAAAAACAAACAACTAATTTATAATAGGGCTTGAGTCTACTAATTTTATGAATTATTTATTTATTTATCTTCATTTCAAGTATTTATCGTGAAGATCTGTGAATCCAATGGTCCCTGATTCGCTTTTCGCTACTGCAAAAATAAATACCATATTGTTGCGTCATCGAGATCATGTGATTCTCACGCTCTCTCCTTTCTAGAATTATCCTGTAGTTTGGCGAATGTTCTAGTTCTTACTAGATATAGGGTAGGCGGATATATATAAGAGGGGACAACGTGACGCGGGAAGGTAATGTGTGTGTAGACAGTGAGTAATTGAACTGCAGTCACGGGGTATTGTTGAAGTTAACGTTCGTTCGTTATAGTATTTGTTTTAGCGCGAGTATTGAGATTAAGTGTATCGGTAAAGTTGTATTCGGAAATAATAAACCAGTTTTATAAGAAGTAACTTGTGTCGCTTAAGTGTCGTCGGAACGAGTTACGGAAAATCAATTACAAACGGAGACGTAACATATGTTAACGGATATAAGACGCA